TCTCTCTCTCTCTCTCTCAACTCCCCCTCAACTCCCCCTTTTCCTCCTCAGTGGCTCGACTCTCGGAACTCACCTCCCCCTGCTGGGTTTAAAAGGCTCATAGGAAAATGGCGGGTCTGTTTCCTCTTTTCAGAGGATCCTCCCAAGGTTTATATGGATGCTGGATGGTTGGTGCCAAACGACGCCATGTTGGCTCTAAACATTAGGCTGGGGCTCTCATAACACATAGATTGTGAGCCAAAATGGCGGCTCTAGACGGATAGTTTCTGTGTATTATCTACTAGTTCCGCTATTCAGACGGGTGATGGGTGATTGTCCAACCAAACTCATGGTTTCACATGTGGTACTTTTTACAACATAATCTATTTAGATATGTGTCACTGATTAAATGTATGATTGAATATATAATTGTTATATAAAATTGAATGTGTTTTATTTTTAAATATAATATAAACAAGTAGAAGGTGTGTGAGTATTCAGTAAGGTAGACATGTCACAATAACACTTAGTCGAAAATGAAATCTATAATAAAAGATGAGAAAAATGTTTAGCAGTTTTATCTTTATTACTTAAAAAAATATATGATTTAATTATTTATGATTCGTTTATAAATGAATGACTTATTATTAGCCTCCAGTTGATAAACTGATTAACTTGTGGGAAAGAAAATCGAAATAAAACTTTTTACTTAAATTTTCCTCAGTGCAAGAATTATTTAATCCTTCCTTACAAAATGCCTGGAAAGGGAGACATCTAGTGAAAAAAATATGCAATTACAGAAAGCATAAAAAAAAGTAGGTTGTGTCGATAAATCCTGAGCTGCGTCTTTAAAGCTTAAATAATTGGTGCAAATTACAGTAATTGATTACACTCGTGTTGACTGTACGCTGGCTAATTTTCCTTGCCTGCAGGAACTCAGATTCTGGAATGTCCTGCATCTGTCTAGTTCAGTTGATGCATTCAAATATTGATTGCACGAAGACAAATATTCACAAGCATCTTGTGAATATTTTCCTGTGGCCATAGATAGATAGATAGATAGAGGATATTGACATTGATGTTGATATATGCTGTTAAGCATCACTATATTCAGCTCACTGGTGCAATTAGATTGAACTCAAGCTGAGGAGCAGAGAGGGAGAGGGTATCAGAGATTGAATGTCAAGGAGATCAGCCACTAATGCACAATGCCAGAGCACTGATCAGTTTCAGGACGAGGCTCATTTGTGTTAAATGGGCCGAGCAGATTGACTTAAACCTGTATTGCAGGGATTCTCAAATCTGGCCCACGAGATCCACTTTCCTGCAGAGTTTAGATCTAACCCTAATCAAACACACCTGAGCATGCTAATCAGTGTCTTCAGGATCATTAGAAAATCACAGGTAGCTGAGTTTGATCAGGGTTGGAGCTAAACTCTGCAGCGCATTGGACCTCCAGGGTAAGATTTGAGGAGCCCTGCTATATAGCAACAGTCGGCATCGCACAGGTGGCATCAGTGCTCACCGTGTTGCAGTTTTATCGGTAGGGGGCGGTATGCACATGCGAGTCTCTGTGTCCTTGCTCACAAACTTTCAAGAGCATCTTGACAACATCCATTTGAGAGACCGCAGGTGCATGTCAGCTCTTTCTATTTACAACAAATATTCTACCAGAAAACGGAACAATATTTCGTTACAAGATAAACAAACAAGCAACAGTAAATCTTAATAAAAATAAAGCTTCATCATCATCATCAAAATAATAATATTATTATTATTTAGAATGATCATATTTATTATCATTATTACAGTTTTTTTTATTATATGTAACTTATAGACATTTAAAGGGCTTTACATAACTATTATCTTTCATGATCCTTTGACATGTATAATGCTTATAGCTTTTTTATTTTTTTTAAATCAGAGCATTATATGTAATCTGGATTACGTAATCATATAAAAATATTTTTACTTGTAATATTACTTTAAATTACATTATAAAAATACTTGTAATCAGACTACAGTTACTTTTTTATTATCACATTATCACATTGATCACATGAAATTGTTCATAGTTTATTGATTCTCCCAAATTCCTCTTTTTCATCTTTTAAATGTTCCTTTTTAAAATAGCCTACCGCTTATACACTCAGAAAGTTTTCCAGTTTTGTGGACATTCACATTCACACAAAGACCAGTCAGGTGCTACTCAGCATTTGATTTTGCTCAGCTCACATGACATGCAGGTAAACAAATAAAATAATTCATTTTTTCGGAAGTGTTTTATTTTGATTTATGCTATTTTTAAAAATTACATTTTGCATTTTTATGATTTAATTAATTATTAACTTTTCATTAAAATCACAAACCCCCTGCAATACCTTTACAAACCTGTTTGGGAAACACTTTTATCCAAAGCGACTTACAAATGAGGACAATAGAAGCAATCAATTGTAGTATTAAATAACTAAAAACAGATCCAAAACTAAAAGTTCAAACTTTATATATACTACCTATACACATTTTAAAATAAAGAGATTAAATAAAAATGACAAACGCATACAACAAAATTTCAAAAATTAACATTTAAATGAAAAACAAAAAATAAAGCTAAAAACAATTCAAAATATTAAAGAACAAAAGGAATAACAATGATTCTAACATAACACTAAGCCAAACACCAAAAAAGAAAATACATATGTGTATGTACAACCACACACACACACACACACACACATATATATATATATATATATATATATATATACAGTGTAGATAGATAGAGGATATTGACATTGATGTTGATATATGCTGTTAAGCATCACTATATTCAGCTCACTGGTGCAATTAGATTGAACTCAAGCTGAGGAGCAGAGAGGGAGAGGGTATCAGAGATTGAATGTCAAGGAGATCAGCCACTAATGCACAATGCCAGAGCACTGATCAGTTTCAGGACGAGGCTCATTTGTGTTAAATGGGCCGAGCAGATTGACTTAAACCTGTATTGCAGGGATTCTCAAATCTGGCCCACGAGATCCACTTTCCTGCAGAGTTTAGATCTAACCCTAATCAAACACACCTGAGCATGCTAATCAGTGTCTTCAGGATCATTAGAAAATCACAGGTAGCTGAGTTTGATCAGGGTTGGAGCTAAACTCTGCAGCGCATTGGACCTCCAGGGTAAGATTTGAGGAGCCCTGCTATATAGCAACAGTCGGCATCGCACAGGTGGCATCAGTGCTCACCGTGTTGCAGTTTTATCGGTAGGGGGCGGTATGCACATGCGAGTCTCTGTGTCCTTGCTCACAAACTTTCAAGAGCATCTTGACAACATCCATTTGAGAGACCGCAGGTGCATGTCAGCTCTTTCTATTTACAACAAATATTCTACCAGAAAACGGAACAATATTTCGTTACAAGATAAACAAACAAGCAACAGTAAATCTTAATAAAAATAAAGCTTCATCATCATCATCAAAATAATAATATTATTATTATTTAGAATGATCATATTTATTATCATTATTACAGTTTTTTTTATTATATGTAACTTATAGACATTTAAAGGGCTTTACATAACTATTATCTTTCATGATCCTTTGACATGTATAATGCTTATAGCTTTTTTATTTTTTTTAAATCAGAGCATTATATGTAATCTGGATTACGTAATCATATAAAAATATTTTTACTTGTAATATTACTTTAAATTACATTATAAAAATACTTGTAATCAGACTACAGTTACTTTTTTATTATCACATTATCACATTGATCACATGAAATTGTTCATAGTTTATTGATTCTCCCAAATTCCTCTTTTTCATCTTTTAAATGTTCCTTTTTAAAATAGCCTACCGCTTATACACTCAGAAAGTTTTCCAGTTTTGTGGACATTCACACAAAGACCAGTCAGGTGCTACTCAGCATTTGATTTTGCTCAGCTTTTGATTTTGAATGATTTTTACAAAAATCATTTCAGGTTTAAGAAGTGTTCCAACATTGCATCAACTACTGATGAACACATTAATGTTTATTTGAGTTATTACTCAGTAGGTTATTTAACCATCTATTACAATGTCTTTGGGAGGCCTTTGTCTTTCAAACACATTAAAATGCACACATTCACATTATTACTTATTTACATGTAATGCAGGCATTCATCTGAACATCTCTCTCCTAATATATTTACTTGAAGTACTCCTTTTTAAAAAAAATAAATGAATAATTAAGTATCACATTTGCATGTTCACAGTTCTCTGACATTGGTTAATGGTCACATGACATGCAGGTAAACAAATAAAATAATTCATTTTTTCGGAAGTGTTTTATTTTGATTTATGCTATTTTTAAAAATTACATTTTGCATTTTTATGATTTAATTAATTATTAACTTTTCATTAAAATCACAAACCCCCTGCAATACCTTTACAAACCTGTTTGGGAAACACTTTTATCCAAAGCGACTTACAAATGAGGACAATAGAAGCAATCAATTGTAGTATTAAATAACTAAAAACAGATCCAAAACTAAAAGTTCAAACTTTATATATACTACCTATACACATTTTAAAATAAAGAGATTAAATAAAAATGACAAACGCATACAACAAAATTTCAAAAATTAACATTTAAATGAAAAACAAAAAATAAAGCTAAAAACAATTCAAAATATTAAAGAACAAAAGGAATAACAATGATTCTAACATAACACTAAGCCAAACACCAAAAAAGAAAATACATATGTGTATGTACAACCACACAC